CAAAAAAAAAATGAAGAGGAATAAGCTTACCATTAGAGAATGGCTTGCTTTTAGGATTCAATGCAGACATAACGAGGCACAAACTATATTGCGGTCAAGAAGGTTGTTTCAACAATTTTTGGTTGATGGATTTACTATGATGGAGTCACAAAGATTGAATTATATTCGAAAACATCAGAAAAAGCTGCGTGTTTCTAAATATTGCAATTTGAGCTCATCTGAACAGAATGAAAACACTCAAGGATCAAACAAAGGTAAAAGAGTGGTTTTACCTTCAACTTATGTTGGAAGTCGGAGGTTTATGGAACAACTCTATTTTGATGGAATGGCAATTTGTAGCCAAGTTGGATTTCCATATCTTTTTATCACATTTACTTGCAATCCCAACTGGCCTGAAATCCAAAGGTTGCTTAGCAAAATTAACTTGAATTCTCAAGACCGTCCAGATATCATCTCAAGAGTCTTCAAAATTAAGTTCGATGAGTTGTTGTGTGATCTAACAAAAAAGCACGTGTTAGGGAGAGTGATTGCATGTAAGTCAATTTAATACCCTTTCAGTCGAGTTATATTTTTTGACATTAATCTTATTAAATATGTAATATGCATCGTTTTACTAAGTTTAAACTTACTTAATTTCAGATATATACACCATTGAATTCCAAAAGCGGGGTTTACCACACGCCCATATACTATTATTCTTGCATCCTTCAAGCAAGTATCCGACTCCAGATGATATAAACAAGATCATTTCAGCAGAGATACCAACGGAAGAAGATGATAGGCAACTCTACCATTTGGTCAAGACACATATGATTCATGGCCCATGTGGTTTAGCAAATGCGAATTCAACTTGCATGAAAAATGGAAAGTGCTCAAAATACTTTCCAAAGAAATATCAAACCGAAACCATTGTTGATCAGGATGGATATTCCGTGTACCGAAGAAGAGAAACTGGTAATACAGTGCTGAAAAAACACGTTCAACTTGATAACAGATATGTAGTTCCTTACAATCCATATTTGTTGAAGAAATTCCAAGCACACATCAATATGGAGTGGTGTAATCAAAGTACTTCAGTTAAATACTTATTTAAGTATATTAACAAGGGGTATGATAGAATTACTGCTGCTGTTGTCCAAACTGACGGTGATGGATCTCCCTCGGTCATAATGGTTGACGAAATCAAGCAATATCTTGATTGCAGATATATCTCACCAAGTGAGGCATGTTGGAGACTTTTTTCATTTCCTATTCATGGTAGATCACCCGCAGTTGAAAGGTTGTTCTTTCATCTTGAAGGAGACAACTCTGTTTATTATACCGATTATGAATTGATAGATGAGGTGCTTGACAAACCAACTGTGAAAGAATCTATGTTTACGGCATGGATGGAAGCAAACAAAGCATACCTAGAGGCAAAGAATTTGACGTACTCACAATTTCTTTCCAAATTTGTTTATGATAAAAGATACCGTCGATGGAGACCGCGTAAAAGAGGAAATACAATTGGCAGACTTATTTGGGTCCCTCCAAGTACGGGTGAGTTATATTTCTTGAGAATAATGCTAACAGTCGTCAAAGGTCCAACTTGCTATGAGGATATAAAATTTGTGGGTGGAAAAGTTCAGGATTCTTTTAGGGATGCATGCTTCGAAATGGGCTTTCTTAAGATGACAAGGAATATGTTGCAGCCATCGACGAAGCAAAGAATTGGGGTTCCGGGCATTTTTTACGAAAGTTATTTGTCACTATGTTACTATCCGGTACTGTCAATAGACCACGACATGTTTGGGGAAAAACTTGGAGGACGTTATCTGATGGTATCCTCTACCAACAAAGGCAAAAAACAAATAGAAGAGGTATGAACACTTTATTAAACTTTTTTAAGTCAACAAATATTATTTTCCGAATGCAAGCTGTATCTTTTTTTATTACAAAATATAATGATATGAACTTACTTTAAAATATAATTATTCTTCATCCATATGTCCCTTATTTAATATGTTTCATAAGGTATGTCCATTTACGTAAGAAACATTTTCATATTTGTCATTTGTCATGTATGTAAGTTATTTTCTTAACTTGCAGCTGCAACAGTGTCTTTGGTTCCATTTAATTTCACGCAGCCGCAACATCAACTGTTTGATTTATGTTCAATGTATTTCAACATCACGACAGCAGTTGCATCATACATATGTAATTATATAGAAAACTAATGAAATTTTTTTAACAGAATTGCAGCTATCGGACAATGAGTTAAAGAATCTCACACTAATTGAGATTGAGAACATGATGCAATCGAATCGAAGAAGTTTGCATGAATTTAAATGTATGCCGTATCCAGATTCATACATCACAAAACATGTTGGCAATAGGCTTATTTATGACGAACTTAATTACGATGCCGATACCGAGAAACAGAAATTCCAAGAACTTTTTCATGCCCTTACAGGTGATTTATTTTCTTTATACTATGAATTACAAAAATGATTTTTATTGTCCTTGCACTTATAATTCTTGGTTTGTATTTTATAGATGAACAACGTTTGATAGTTGAGAAAATCATGGATGTTGTTAACAAACAGAGTGGAGGGGTATTTTTCTTGCATGGTTACAGAGGGACTGGTAAAACATTCATGTGGAGAACACTATCAAGTGCACTTCATTCTCAAAAAAAAATTGTTCTTACTGTTGCTTCAAGTGGGATAGCTTCGTTATTATTGCCGGAAGGAAGAAAAACACACTCAAAGTTCAAAATACATGTGCCAACGCTTGACAACTCAACTTGCAACATCGACAAAGACACCGAACATTCTCAATTATTTGAATCAACGGATGTGATAATATGGGATGAGGCACCTATGTCTCACAAGAACTTCTTCGAAGTATTGGATAAAACCCTTAAAGATGTAATGAGCAAAAAGGGTGTTGAGAATACTATTTTTGGTGGAAAAGTTGTTGTATTTGGAGGAGATTTTAGACAGATTCTTCCTGTTGTTCCAAGAGCTGGGCGTTCTAATATTGTTCATGCATCAATTAGTTCATCTTATGTATGGGATTATTGCCAGGTTTTAACACTATCAAAAAATATGAGACTTCAAGAGGGAAGAGACAACACAAGTTCTAATGAACTAGCGGAATTTTCAAAATGGATTTTAAATGTGGGTGATGGTAAGATTTGTGAACCCAATGATGGTTTGGTTGATATTGAAATTCCTCAAGAGCTATTAATATCAAATTTTGATGATCCTATAAGAGCAATTATTGAAAACACATATCCCAATTTGTTGGAAAAATATCAAGATGTTGAATTCTTACAAGGAAAGGCTATTCTTGCTTCAACCATTGAAGTTGTGGATAAAATCAATCATTATGTATTAGACTTGATACCAGGTACATGTGTTTTATATTTACTGTATTATTACATTCATAATATATATATATATATATATATATATATATATATATATATATATATATATATATATATATATATATATATATATATATATATATATATATATATATATATATATATATATATATATATATATATATATATAAGAACATAGTTTTACTAATTTATTTATGTTTTGATTTTAAACTTTTTTTTAGGAGAAGAGAAAGAGTATTTGAGTTTTGATTCCATTGATAGAACAAATTCAAGTTATACTGAAGCATATGAAGTTCTAACTCCTGAATTTCTCAGTAAATTAAGAACGTCAGGGCTTCCCAATCATAGGATCAAATTGAAGGTTGGTACACCTATTATGCTAATGAGAAATTTGGACCAAGTCGATGGGTTGTGCAACGAAACAAGATTAATTGTTACAAGATTTGCAAATCATGTCATTGAGGCAAAAATCATGTCTGGAAAGAACATAGGTAACATTTTTTACATTCCACGAATGTCTATGTCACCTTCTGATTCACCTTGGCCATTCAAGTTGATTAGGAGACAATTTCCGATTATTGTCTCCTATGCAATGACAATTAATAAGTCACAAGGTCAATCTCTTGATAGTGTTGGATTGTATTTGCCTACTCCTGTGTTTAGTCGGTCAATTATATGTTGCAATTTCAAGAGTTAAGAGCAAAAGTGGGCTAAAAATCCTAATTCATGACAAGGAGAATGTACCGTGTTCTACTACTACTAATATTGTGTACAAGGAAGTCTTTCAAGCACTTTGATAGTTGGTAAACTTTATATCTTATACTTTACGATTCAAATTAAAAATCTATTTTAAATTAAAATATATAGTATGTACATTTTCCATGTATTTCAAGAAGTATATAATTTTTCCTATTTGTTCATGCAGATGTGATTTGTTGATAGGACCGACGCTTGCTACAAATATGAAGTTAAATGCCAACATGGTTTACATGAGACATATACTCAACTGAAAACATGATAACATACTTAATAATTTAATAATCTATAAATATAATGTGAATTCAGACGAGACCCGTACGATAGCACGGGTTTGTTACTAGTTTTCTAACAAAACATTAGCCATTCATAAATAAATAAAAAAATTGCACTTTCATTTAGATCCTCAAGAGTAATGATAAAAAAAGATAAATCTTAAAGGTACATCGTATTTACTGTAGAAATTAATTAACATGAGAAGCTTTATTTATAAAGATGATTGAAGGCAATAATATAATTTGGTGTGAGGAGGAGTCTTTACTCTAATGAGTATAATTGGATAGAGTTTATATAAATTTTAACAAATACGATATATATCTACAATAAAAAATAATTTAAAATAAAAAATTTAATAAAATGCAAAAATTTTAATAAGCAAAAATTTATTGATGGGAGAGCAAAGTAGCACAAGATCTCTTGTGCAAAGTCTCTCCTAAATTAACACACAATTACAAAGTTACAAACAAATATTAGAACCAAATCAAAGCAACACAACACATGAACAAAATCACGTGACTTCAACAAAATAAAACATGTTACAAGGTAAATATTGATTGAAATTTCTTTTATTCTAGAAACTCAGTCCATGTTTAACAAATTTCTTTTCTGTGATAGTGTTTATGCGCTCAATCATATCTGTTGTGAGAAGATTTTTCCAATCTCCAACTTGACCAAGACGGAAAAAAAATTTGTTTTCAATTTCATAAGACGTTTTTTCTATCTTATTGACTTCCAAGTTACTCAATTTCTCAAAACTACACAAATTTAATATATCATCAACCATACCTCTAGATTCTTCTTCTTTAGAGAATGGACACTCCAAAAACTTAGCAATCTCTTTCAAATAAAAATCAGGTTTCATTTTCATTTCTTCATATTTCAAGAACATAACCTTCTCTGAACTTTCTAAGCTTTTCTTCCAATATCCTAATACATGCTCCCAAAAAGGTCCAAAAAAACTTACTCCTCTGCAAAAACTCTCAAATGCTTCTTCGAATGGAAATGCTATACTGCTTTTTGGTCTTATCTTGTTTATGAAATGCCACAATGAAACAAAATTGTCTTTAGGATCTCTACATAGATATATCACCTTGCAAGTTGAGTCTTTCACAGATTTTGGCAATAATTCATATGGTAAATGAGAAGAGTAGAGTCTTGGATGAGATATTGTTTTGAAATCAGAAACAAAATCTCTGTCACAAAAAGGAACAAGATCATGAGGGTTGGTAGTGAGCAAAGGATGGTTGATATGAATATTTGGATATTTGTTGCGGTTTATCAAAGCAAACGTTAATGCTTTGAGCCAAGTTGTACCCGATTTAGGAGCAGTGACTAAGAGAATATCAGTATCAAAAGCTTGAAAACTCTTTTGACAAGATAAAACACAATGGAGCCTCGTTGGACAAAACCAGAATCCTTGATATTGATGCATGGTAGGTTTAAGCCAACCTTTTTCTATTGGCAGTGTGGATAACAACTCCTTGCAATCTTGGCTTATGTCATGTTGTTGCAAGTATTTTGGTAAATGAGTGTCTTGGTCACTTGAATTTTCCATGGTGTTCATATAGGAGGCTGGAGTCGAGACAAAATGGGATTTTTGGTTGGTTATGGTTAAGATACTTGACGTTGGTTATATTTATATATGTGTTGGGTAGACTTGGATTAAATTAAATGATTCTAAACAGATGCTCCAGAATTGAATTCTAACAAATAATATTTATTTATATTTATCTATTAACTTAATTTGTTGATGATATTTATAAAATTAAAACCTTTAAAAAGGATTGAAATTAAGTGATTTTAGTATTAATTACAAGATTTTTTTAAAGAAAATTACTTTATATTAAGCTAATCAAAATAGATTTTTAAAGCATTTTTTAAACAAATCATCTAAAAATTGTTGTATTAAAAGATAGAATATTTAAAATTATTGTTTATGACAAGATATTTAAATCAAATTTTATTCAATATATTAAAAATGTAATATACTCTATACATTATTTGAAAAAACAATTTGGAATGAGTCGAATATGGTACTGCATTCAATGACTATATCACATTCATATATCTAAAAAATCTAACTAAATCTCATCTCCTACTTTTTTCAAGCTTAGTTTGCAAATCTTACTCCATGGCCTACAATTAAATTTTCACTTCTATAAAATATTTTTAAAAAAAAGTTCAATTTTCACTTCTATAAAAAAATTGAATTTTCCATGGTGTTCATATAGGAGGCTGGAGTTGATATATATATATATATATATATATATATATATATATATATATATATATATATATATATATATATATATATATATATATATATATATATATATATATATATATATATATATATATATATATATATATATATATATATATATATATGTTATTTTATAATAAATTAAAATATTGAGACTAATAGTGGGTAGAATTGAGTTAAATTAAATGAGTGTAAACAATAGTCCAGAATTGATTTTAAAAAATAAAAATAATTTATACTAGTATGAAATCTGTACTATTGCACGAGTTTCGTCTAAATTTATATTACATGTATGTATGCCATTCTTATTTATAAAATTTGTTTTTATTTATTAATTAAATTAATTTTCATATAATTATTATTTATAATTATTTATCAACTTTGAATTACTTTTTATTAATGTTTCTGACATAACTATTATGTTTCATTTTAAATTATAATTTAAATAAATTTCAATAACTCATTAAGATCATTTCGATTTCACTAAGTATCTCTATAATATTTTTCAGACAAAAGTTACAAATCGACACACAGTTAGTTATAAACTTTCAGATCAAATTATAACTCAACACACGGTTAGCTAATAACTTCTAGAACAAAATTAGAACACAACATCCCACCTAACTCATATTTGAAAGTCATTAATCACTATTTTCTTCAACGATTATGACATGATATCAGTCAATAGCAACTATATTATGCAAAAATAAGCTTCTCCGTCATTCATTCATCCAAGACAAAAGCTAATTCAACTCCTTTTTTACTGTCATGGCTGATCTCACGGCAGCAAACAACTTAAATGTCCATCTCACCGACGTCAACAACAACGTCGCCGACCACAACACCGACATCAACAACAACGTCGCCGACCACAACACCGACATCAACAACGCTGGTCTCGCTGCCCTCAACATCGGTAACAATAGCAACACCGGCAACAACAATGGCCACGCAGGTGACATGCCCGGCCCCTCAGAGTATAGAGATAGACCGACTGCCTCTACGACATCACTGCCCCGATGATTCGAAGACGATCGTCTTCCTCTCGAGAACTATCAATCGCCCGTGTTCCAGGAGGTCCCCGTTCCTGCGGGTGTTGATGCCACGACTAGGGCACTGTTCGCGGCAATAAATCAAATAAACTACTTGAACTTTTTGAAAGGGGAGATATTAAGGATGCTCAAAGATTCTTAGAGAGCTGCCAGAAGACATAGGAGGCATGATTCTCCTCCTCCCCGTCAGATAAAGGATCTTCCCCAATCTCCCCTAGAGACGCAGAGATGATGCCTCTCGAAGCCCCTTTCCCTGACGAATTGGGTGACGCCCCACATTGGAGAGGGATCAACCCGTAGATACGGGAAAACGTGATCTCGTCCCCCCGCGTCAAGAGCAAAGACCCCCTAGAAACAGGAACATGGGATATGATGAACGAATACGCCACCCGAGGAATCCTGCGCGCGACCAGGGCCGCCATCACGACCGACATTACAACAGACCGCATTCTCGATCTCCAGACAGAAGCGACGAAGATGACCCCCGCGGTCCCCTATCCCAGGCTATTATGGAGGCACTCATTCCCCGGGTATGGAGAAAATTCCCCATCTGAAGGAGTACGACGACATTGCCGACCCGATCGACCATATCGACAGGTTCGAGGCAATGCTGCATTATCATAATGTTGGGGTACCGATAAAATGCCAATTTTTCCCCGCGACTTTGAGAAAGACTGCAATAGACCGGTATAAGAGCCTCGCTTCGGGGTTAATTACCTCCTAGAGAAATTTAAAAAACCAGTTCATCAGTTCATCCACTGCCTCACGTTGACATCCGAAGACTGAGGTAGCCCTCGAGGCCATTGTCCAAAGAAATGATGAGACCCTCAGGGAGTTTATTGATCGGTTCAACCGCGAGGCCATTCAGGTCCCATGCACCGATCATATGGAGAGATACCTGCTCGAGAGGGAACTCCTCCTAGGCACGGAGTTCAGTAAAGTCGTTGGTATCGACCACCACGGACATTCGATCCTCTCCTCGAGAAGGCTAGGGACTACATGGACTATGAGGAGAGGGAATCAGCCAATAGATCCCGCGACCCAAGAAATCATGGATCAACCAGTAATCTGCGACAACAAGATTCGGGCCTTCCTCGACGAACGAGCGAGAAGAGGAGGGATGACAAACCATGGGATCCTCGCGAGCAAAATGGGCCTGCAAAGTGATTTATTGAGTACACTATGCTAACAGCTTCCTGCGAGCGCATCTTGGCAGAGTGTGCTAATATTAATTTCAAGGACTGAGGCTTCAGACGTCCTCGCTCTTCTCCTGCTAAACTCGGGGCTGATCAAAGCAAACACTGCCAGTATCATCAAAGTCATGACACCTGACTGAAGATTGTGTCCATCTCAAAGATTCTATAAAGACCATCATTAAAGGGGGGAAAACTCGGGAAATATCAGTGCGGTGACGCCCCACGTCGAGATGTCTGCGACACAAAGGAGAATGAGGAGGATGCCCAACCATTAGAGGAGATGGTCCCTATCCAAACAACATTATCCGTTACGATATCAGAGGACTTCTACATTATCGATGATATTGAAGAACCTATGTGTTTACCTTGGGTTTTGGTAAACAACCGCTGATCCTCCAAATGGTTACTTATTTGGTTACTCGCAGGATCGATCAGATTGATCCTATGGACATAGGTTGATTTTGAAGTTTGATTAAGTTGGATAAGGCTTTAAGTAAAAGGTTTCAAGTAAATTGCATAAAGGAAAGACTTGGTAAAATAAACAAGGCTTTAAAGTAAAGGTTCGACAGGAAATGTAAAGAGAAAAGCAAGTAAAATTCTGGAAAAAGTAAATGACTTTAATTGATAAAATTGGTGTTTCACACATACATTTATCAACAATTCTTTCTCACACGCTGGGTACTCGAATCTATATGAGTGACTTTGTATAGAATTGTGAACACACGCGAGAAACTACATGTCTACTCCTATTTATACTAAAACATTCCAAGTAACCGTCGGGCAGTTACACTGCTTCGAGATCAATCCACTTGGCACGTTCTCCATGCTCGACGCTCCAGATCCTTGCACGTTTGCACGTAGTAACTGCTGGAAACCGTTTTCCCTCCAAAGCTTTGAATTTCAAACTGCTCCACTCTGGACCATCGAACACTTTCGTCAAGAGACATCTTCGACGAGAAACTCCTTCGACGTCGAAGGCAATCAGCCTTCTTCCTTGGAAGAAATCTTCTAAGTATTTTGCCATCTTTCGACGGGCACTTCGACAGACTTAGCCAGTCGAAAGCATCTTTCAGCTTTTAATGGCTGACATCAATCAAAACAAAGGTGTCGAATTTAGGAGCCAACAAATTGCCCCCCAAGAATGCCTTATTTCGACTCTGAAAGAAAAAGGCATTCTTTGAAACGCCATTCGACACCTGTCTTTCCACGCTTAGTCACAAGTTAACTTGTGCACTTTTTGTTGCTTTTTATCAACTATTGGCAATCCCAAGAAACCATCATTGATTTGATCCTAGGACGTCACTTTCAGTACGGCGTGCAGTACCAAACGTCATTTCAGAATTTGTCATTATGACAATTCTCAAAAACGAGGACGCACGCTGCGTCTCTCCACTTCTGCAGAAACGGCCAAAACAACAAGGGGCTGCCACGCGTCCCACTAACTCTTGCAGCATTAAATGGCATTTAATGTCCTCGTTATTGGGGATTTTTCCCACTACTATAAATAGCAGTGAATATCCCATTGTGGGACTTTTTACGCCAACTAGCCTTCAAACTTCCTTGTTTTCGTACAAGCTTGCTCTCTTTGCAGAAAACTCTTCCTCTTTCACTTCATCTTCAACCTCATTTCAAAAAATGGCCTCTGCTTCTACTGCTCCTAGTGCTAACGCACCAACTGAACATGTTAAACCCAAGGTCTTCGTCACTGCTCCGGTAGTAAACTCTACAGGCAAACGAAGGGTTCCTGAACCTTCTGACATCTCCGTTCGCGATGCTTATTCGCGCCACTTGATGATCCCGGTTGGATACTCTAACCAGATCTTCGCAATGTCTGGCCCCATGAATCCAAGCATCTCTGAAGCTCTGAAGATCAAGAGCTATTTCCCAATCGTCGAGAAACTCAAGCCAGTAGCATGCGCCAAGAAAGACGCAGAAGACAACGAAGACCCTACTCGTGAAAAAATCGACCTCCGCTTCTTCAACAGAGGGGTTAGGGTCTTCAGGTCTTGCCCTAATCTGACCTCCGATTATGTTGCTTGGCTAA